TTATGACAGTCTAGTCTAAAGGCCATAGACGACGGAATATGCGATAAGGCGTGGCGCTTGGAGAGTTACAAACATACATACATACATACAGGTGAAACTAATATAAGCATGTTAATAAATATAGTTTAAAAAACTAAAAAAACACGCTTTTAAAGCACATCGAACTAAAAAGTTAAAAATAATTTTTAAAATAAGTTTAAAATAATTATGAAAAAAAAATACTAGTATTATTGTGATAAAAGCGTGGGTGCTTTGTGTCATATTTTTCGTATATTGAGCGCCCCACGCTTTTATCACAATAATACTAGTATTTTTTTTTCATAATTATTTTAAACTTCTTTTAAAAATTATTTTTAACTTTTTAGTTCGATGTGCTTTAAAAGCGTGTTTTTTTAGTTTTTTAAACTATATTTATTATTTACTTTTTAGTTTCATGTTATGATAGTAGTTACTATCAATATCATGGTTGTTACGGGTAACGGGAAATCAGGGTTCGATTCTGGGGAGGGAGTCTGAGAAACGGCTACCACATCCAAGGAAAGCAGCAGGCGCGTAAATTACTCACTCCCGGAACGTGGAGGTAGTGACGAAAAATGACGATACGGAAATCATCCCTCGTAATCGGAATGAATACTTTATATCTCTTAATTAGAATAAATCGTGTTAATATATTAATTTTAATAGTAATTAGAATATATATATTTATACAAATAATGCGACTTAACTACGTAAAAGTATCATGCACTAAGTATAGCTGTGTTTTATGGCCGGGCGGGTCGGACTAACGTTATACCCGAGGTATAAACGGCGGTAGGAATATATATATATATACGTAAGGCGCATTAGACGCGGGCGTTATTGGTCAGTTTAAATAAAAATTTGTTTACATATATATAATATTGATGACAAGCACGTGTGTACGGGTACGATAACTAAAAATAAATTTTTATAGGAATAGTGTACCGTCGTATGGTGAGCGAGGCGTGGGGAGTGGTGAATGCGTATAACAGTCTAGTCTAGACAACGGAATATGCGATAACGCGTGGCGTTTGGAGAGTTACAAACATACATACATACATACATACAGGTGAAACTAATATAAGCGTGTTAAAAAGATTAGCAGCGTTGAAGGCGAGATGGTGCGCGGGTGCGGATCGGTTTGTCGACGTTGTCACTCTCACAACGGGAGGAAGACTCCCGCATCATTTGCGGCGGGTCGTCGTCGGCCGTGTGGTTCTTACTGGACTTTGCCCCGTGGCGTATGGCACGCGGTGTTGGTCAGTCAAATACTCATAGTAGGGCGACGGCTGATAAAGGTGGCAAGAGTCGCGGGGCATCGTGTATAACGAAGCGACGTGGGCCGTGTCACTACACTGTTCCCAACCTATTCCATAACAAGGTATCTCCTGTTTAATATCAAACAATGAGCTTTTTGACTAACTATTTTCTATCATATTATCATAATAGTATGTTGAAATTTAAAAACAAGAAAAATAACAATGGAATTATTTATAGGTGGGCAAATCTTTGATGTAGCTTGAAAATTGTTCGTAGCGCGGGAGGGTTTAAATAAATGTGTTTATAATAATCTTTTCTATGATTCTTTTTTTGGCATGTACATAATTACACAAGTAAAATAATAATGGACATATTAATAAGATCAACAGTAGTTACTTACTACTAAAGGTAGTAAGTATTTTTTTTATTTTACTTCAACGTTATATTCTGAAGTTTTTATCCCTATTATTTTGGGTTTTGTGCATTTCATTTAATTTGATTTTATTGATTAATTCAATTTCATTATTATATTAAGTTATAACTAGAGCCCGGATTTGTATGCACTCAAAAAACCTAAAATAATGTGCATTTATGCATCAAAAAACTTCAAAATATGTATTAGATATGCTCTTATTTTTTTAATAATATGCAAAAATATGCTCTTACCCAAAATATATGCATTTACTTTTTTTTTTTAATTTCTTCCATAAATAATTCGACTTAATTAGATAAACTTAATTTTTAATTATATTGTCAACTTAAAACGTTAATTAAAGAACAGTAAATATTTAAAAATATATTCAATGAATAAAATTAATACTTTAATTCAGAATAATAAAAAATAAATATGTATTAATCCTCTTTTACCATTACTTTGGTAAATATTTATGATAAAAATACAAAATAAAAAAATTGTATAAAAAAAAAAATTTAAACCAATAAAAACATAATTTGGTTATTAATAAAAAATATTTTGTTACAATGTATGACTTTTATTTTTATAAAAAGAGTTGACAATAATATATTTTTCCATGTGCTGATGTTTTCTGGAAGTTGTATTTCATTGTTACCTGATATAATTAGTCCAAATTGTTCCATTACTTGAAACCCTTTATTTTTCTGATATAATTGAGATATTTTAGTTTTTATAATAGAACCTTTGTCACCCTGTATATATGATAGTTCTGAAATAATATTTTTGTGGATTTGTGGACAAAATACTAACAAACCTCTCTGCATTCCTATTAATTATTATTATCCGAAAAGACAAACATACTCTAGTGTAGTAATGTCATATTAATAATACAATGTTATTACCGTAATTTGTATTTGTTGACATAGGACAATAATTTCTCNGATGTTATTACCGTAATTTGTATTTTTTGACATAGGACAATAATTTCTCTTTGGCTTTATCGTTTGTTTTTGGCTTGTAAGTGATGGCTTTTAAATTTAAATGTGCTACACTACAGAGGGTCTATTTTTGAATCGTTCGTTCACGAACGTATACGTTCAGATTTTATTTTATATAGGTTTATATGGCGAACGTTGTTCGTGAACACGTTCGGAACATATGAAACATCGAACGGACAACCATTTAGAACAATAAAAACAACCCAGCATAGGGGGGGTCGCGGCACAGTAGTGACGTGGCATAGTTGGATCAAGTATAATCATATCTGACAGTGATTAAAATCACTATCATAAAAAACATTTCGATGCAAATCTTTAGATAGTGTTTAATTTTAAAAAAATTGGTGGATTATTCCAAAAGCTGATCTGAAAACATGATCTGCTAGTTCCTTATTAATATCCTAATTAAGATAAAGTATGTCAAATGAAAAAGGGATTATTAAAAAATATTATTTTTCATAAAAAAATTATGTTGATCCATACACTTTTCAATATGTTAAAGTATTATAAAGTTAAAAAAATGAAAAAAATAAAATTGAGAATTTTCGCACAATAATAGCATTTGGTAGCCATTTTCACCGTGAAGACAAAATAAAGTCCGATTTATTTTTTTTGCATAATAAAGTAAATTACACTAGCTTTAATTTAAGATATATATAAAAGTGTCAGACTTTCCGGAACACTTTCAAAATTTAAGATGAAAAAGTAAATTTTTTGTGAAAAAGTTGTCATTTTGAATCCCCTCCTGTATGCAAGTAAAAAGTCAGATTTATAAAAAAAAATATACCAAATGATAGGTAAAGACATCATGCATCTACATAAAAAAGAATTATATTGATCCATACATCTTTCAAAAAGTTATAGCATTATAAAGATTAAAATATAAAAAAGAATTTTTTTCAGAAAAATCGTATTTTTTTTATTAACTTTGATGTCTGTTTTGACCATGAAGGCAAAATTAAGTCCGAAAATTTTTTTTACCATAATAAATTATATTACATTAGCTTTAATTTAATATATATATATGAGTGTCAGACTTTCCGAAACACTTTCAAAAGTTAAGTTGAAAAAGTTCTACTTTCTACATGCATTTTTAAGATTTAAACCCCCCTTGTATATAGGGAAATAGTCCGATTTAAAAAAAAAGTATGTCGAATGAAAGATGTACATAAATACTACTTCTCATGAAAAAATTGTGTTGATCCATACATTTTTCAAAAAGTTATAGCATAATAAAGTTAAATATGTAAAATACAAAATCGAAAATTTTCACACAAAAATAGCATTCGGTAGCCATTTTCAATGTGAAGATAAAATAAAGTCCGAAATATTTTTTTTACATAATAAAGTAGATTACATTAGCNATGTGAAGATAAAATAAAGTCCGAAATATTTTTTTTACATAATAAAGTAGATTACATTAGCTTTAATTAAAGATATATATAAAAGTGTCAGACTTTCCGGAACATGTTCAAAAGTTAAGTTGAAAAAGTTGTCATTTTAAATACCCCCCGTGAGCAGGTTAAGTGTCAGATTTACAAAAAATATATACCAAATGATAAATAAAGATATCAAGCATCTATAACAAAAAATTATATTGATATGTTCATTTTTGAAAAAGTTACGGCAGTTTTTAGTAAAAAAAACGGTAGCCCAGTGGGGTCGAGGCACAGTGTGGACGAGGCATAGATGGGACAAGTATAGATGATATCTGACAG